TTGCAAAATTTTCAGGCACCGCAAGTGTTCAAGGTTCCATGAATTTCGAAAACTGAAAAATTTCAATTCGCGATTCTCAAAATTTGTCGGATTTAGCTTTAGGTGTGAAAACGGAACGACGGAAATCGGTCAGCCGGAAACGCGCGAGACTAAATCGCTAGATCGGTGGCACGATCGTGCTACAAACGTTGCGAGCCGCGATAAATATTTGCCTTTGAGCGAGATGCATTTGTCGACAGCAAGCTTTACTCAGATCAGACGTAGACTCAGTTCTAACTCAGCATATATTATTTAAATATTATTTTACAATTGTTTTAGTATCTCTAAATTATTTTACAATTATTTTAGTATCTCTAAATTATTCCTTACGTTACCGAATATATACGTATTTTGGAATAATCAAATATCAAAAATATATAATGCGCTTTAGTCATCGAGACGAGCTTCTTCTATTTTTTTTTTTTTTTTTTTTTTTTGATTCGACAGATAATAAGAGAAATACTCGCACGACAAGAAATTATTACAAAAATAATTCTTTCTTGAAATTCTGAAACGTGAACTTAATTCTTTTTTAGGTGTCATTTTCCTCATTTACCAGAAATAAAACGAAATTAAATTAAATTTCTTTGTATAACTGAAAAGTTAAAAGTTCGTGCACTAACAATTCAATGCAGAACACGAGCAAATAAATGACATTGGTTCAAAGCAGTGCTGCTTGGTTCAGCAGTTTCGATATACTTTCAGAGAAATGCACGTCGACGAAAAATTTCGTCGTTATTTCAGTCAGCGTAGGTTGCGACTGAACTCATGAAAGTTTGCCGTAGCCAAGGTGTTAACGTCGTCACGGCTGACTAAGCTGTATCAAAAGCAATGGAATCACCGGATGGCAACCCACTATCCGTACAGAGTGAACATCCATCGTGCATGCTTTCTCCTCTCGAAGAGCACCGCCGCCGCCGCCGCGGGGCAATTTCGCTGGAAGTTTACCTCCATAACCGTATTCTTAAGGCTGAATGGCCATCTTAGTTCCCATGCGGCGACCTCTAATGGATCTCTCAGAAATTATCTAAATATTTATATTGGAGTTACAAATTTATTGCCGGAAGAATGCGCGGCGAAGGAATCGAGAGACGTGAAGGAAGTTTCTTGGAAAAATATTATCAGTACGTGGAAATGTACGATTCAACAAGATCTGTTTCCATAAATTCTGAAACGCAGCATCGACCAGAGAGAAATATAAATAAAAATTCGAAAAGTGGAAGAGGTATCGACGCGGATTATTAATCTGCATATATTGCCGGGAAATTTCGTTGGCAACATTTCGTGCAGTATATATAAAAATATTTTATTTAATGGTTTCATTGTCTATATGTTTCCTGGAAATTATTGAAAAATGTTTCTGGGAAATTATTTAAATATTCACGATGAATTCAAACACCAAACAATTGTCTCGATTATTTCTGCAAATTTCAGAAATTGTCGAAACTATTCAATTAACGAGTAACTATAGTTTTCCCTGCAATTACGAGTTAATTGTAATTTTTAAAAAGATGTCTGATCTGAAGTAGCGAGTGTAGAATTTTTCGAACTTTTGCTGAGGAACAGTTCAACATTTTTGAATTTCTTCTCACAGAAATACATGAAAGAGTGGCGGAGAGAAAAATTTTCTGAACTTTGGTGAAACTTTCAGACTCGAAATGAAACGCTGCTGTCTTGAAAGCAATGGCCGTAAAGAATATTTCCTATCCGGAAAGAGGAGCTCAGTACCTTCCTTTTAAAGCCGGCTGATACGCGAGCCAACAATAATATTCTTCCATTCTTCGATTTATCCGATTTTTCTGTTCACTCTCGCGAGACAGCTTTCTCTCTCTTTTCGCGATAAAAACTTTCTTAATTTCCTTTGTGTGCCCCTTCTCTTCGATCGAAAATGAAAGAAACCTCCCCGAGTCTCCAAAAAAAAAAAAAAAAAATCACGCTGTCGAAATCTTCTCTCCTCGTTTTGCCAACTAAAAATGTCAGCTCCATTCGATTCTCAAACGATGCTCAATTGTTTGAACGTTTTGAAGCATATACTTCAATTGAAAAATTTTTAAAAAAATCTTCAATTGAATTTAGTTAAAAGCCTGTAGAACGATGGTTTGAATTGAAACGTTTGATATATATATATATATATACTTTGATTGAAAAAATTTGAAACGATGTTCCAATTGAGATGATCCATTTATTTGAAAATGTGAAACGCTCGTTTGATGAAAAGTCTAAAGCTGAAGGATTAATTGAAACATTCAATAAGTAGATTGACGAATATTCACGCAGATTCATATTAAGTAATTTAATAAGTAAAATGTAATGTCGGTATAACTGGTATCATGTTTTTGTGTCTTTGAATTTTCTGCAAATGCAGTTTGTATTTTTTGATTGAAAAATTTAAAATATCTCTCTCTTCTTTCATGCTGTGTTATAATTCAAACTTAGTCGATCGTTCGCATTTAGCTGAGTACGTATTTATTTTCATTGTATATTAATTTTAAGACTCGTTTATACAATACCACTCGTTCTGCTATAAATTTCGACTGTCACTCCGAAAAGAATCACCGGGAAATTTGCAACTTTCCCCGACTGAAAAATCGTCGTCGAGATTCTGACCTGAATTCAACAGCCGTGATTCGAAGTTGAAAGGCATTCGATTGATGAATGGCTGAATCACATCTCCCAACAGACGAACTATAATTGATGGAGCGACGAAAATTTCGCGCAGAGACAGTCGCGCTTGTATCCTCTCGTTCGCTGACAGTGTCAGTGAAAATCCCCGAGCAACACCGGCTACATTTCGCGCGTAAATCCGTTGCTATAGCGACGATAGCACGATGAACAACTTCCGAAAATTTAGACCTGTTAAATACGCTGACAGCTTTCATAAAACTTGTCCCCGCAGTGGAAAATAATTTGTCGGAACTCTCTCGCAATCAGAGGTTTGTTCAAATTTTATCACGCGGCAGTTTGTCGTATTCTATTCCCGAGTGGGGAAATAAATTCGACAGAGTATCCACCTCTTCTCGATGCAAGCGAGAAAGTTTCAAATGGTTCAAAATAGTTGATAATTTTTTCAAACGATAATTTATCGCCAACGAAAATTCCAGTTCTTTAATAATTGAAATATCATCGTCGAAGTGTTACAGAAAATTGTGAAAAGACTCTGAGATACGTTATTCATAGGATCTATAAAACATTACAGAAAGCATCAAAGTCAAACGCACGCGTGGGTCATGGCAAAAGAGCTCGAAAGCAACAGAGAATCGTTTTGACCATATCGATCAATAAAGGCGTCAATCACCTCCTCTATCTCTCTCTATCTTCCCCGTTGGCCATAAAACCAAATCGACGAAATCAGATCTGGAAAGGGCCAGCTATCTGCTCGTGGAATCTCGTTTCCTCGCGAGATTAAGTGTCCCCTGGGACTCTAAGCATCGTTATTCTACTCGTTCGAAACAGAAAGGGCGAGTGTCAGTATTGAATGAGAGCTGCTGCCCTTTCTTTTGCGGATTTCGATGAGACACTTGGCGGAAAAGTTTCAAATTTTCTGCTCTATTTAATCTCGAAGTCTTAAAATTCTATTGTTCTAGATCTTTGATCTCGAGGAACTTGAGTGTTCTCTTCGAAATTATATTAAAATATCGATCAAATGGCAACAGACTTTCTACAGGATCACACTTTCTTTTAAATTTGATCGTCCAAGTCCAAGATTCTATTTCCACTCGGGGAAATTTTCGAACGTTGAACCTAGAAGTTTGGATATTGTCTTGCAATATCTAAAGTGCTGGTTTGTCTTCAAACTTTATCAATCCGATGTAAACTTGGTTTCTTCTGAAACACAAGTCCAGGATCTACTGACTTTCTCTTCAAAACGACAAAATAACACGTACATTCCCATTTTGAGAAATCTTTTCAAGGTAGTTTAGGAATTCAAAGTCTGAAACTCCACTTGTTCAAAGTCTTGCGTTCCAAATTTCATCATCATTTATGTACTCTAGCTTCACCTCAGTCCTCTGACCAAATTCTGTGTCACCAGCCAATGCCAAAGGAAGAAAATTTGACAGAAAATTTCGAAATAAGTGTAAAATTCTGATATCTTCCAAATCACAAGATTCCTACTAGTTTGTCTCAAACCTTAGAATACCTAAACATTCTCATCAGAACCACAAAATACCACTCTGACCAACTCTAAACTGCCAGAGTCCATTATTCCAAAATTCTCCACTAGGACCATAGTCTCAGTCTTGTTCAATCTGAAAAAAAGTTTTTACAAAATTTAGAAAAAAGCCAAGCTCTAAAGAATCTTGATCCCCAGAAACCTAACACATTTGCTACCTTCTGAACCGCACAATTCACGCCAATTGGTTTAAAAATTCAGACCTTAGAGAGAGACCTCCTCTTCAAACCTTAGAAAACCTTAGAGAACATTCTCTTCAAAGCTGCGAAATACTATTTGCAGTCGCACACTCTGAGCAATCCCCAACAATCCCAGAGTCCATTATTCCAAAATTCTCCTCTAGGACCATAGTCTCAGTCTTGTTCAATCTGAAAAAAAGTTTTTACAAAATTTAGAAAAAAGCCAAGCTCTAAAGAATCTTGATCCCCAGAAACCTAACACGTTCGCTACCTTCTGAACCGCACAATTCACGCCAATTGGTTTAAAAATTCAGACCTTAGAGAGAGACCTTCTCTTCAAACCTTAGAAAACCTTAGAGAACATTCTCTTCAAAGCTGCGAAATACTATTTGCAGTCGCACACTCTGAGCAATCCCCAACAATCCCAGAATCCATTATCCCAAACACAGCCAGTGCACCACTGTCGCTCTCGAGCTCGATCGTTGGCGGTCAGTCCTAGAGGAAAACGCGTCTCGCCTCGGCAAAGAATCGGCAGCACACGCAGTAGGCGGAACAGTACCGCGCGCGAGCGGAGAGAGAGAAAGAGAGAGACAGAGAGACAGAGAGCATGCTCGTCGCTCGCGCGGTGGTCTGGGTTCGCAGGAGGGCAGCTCAGCAACGTTCACTCAGTGCGACAGCACGCGCGACCTCGACCGGATCAGCGTGGCTGATCGAACGAGATCGTTTCGCGTCGTGGATCGTTGCTCGCGCGCGGCAATGAGACATTCAGTGACTTCTGATCCCTCGTCTCTGCTCCGGCACAACTCGAACAACAATTCAAGCCATCTCGGACTGTTCTACGCTCTCGTCTCCTCGCCAAGGCTAGGCGAGAGGCTTGGTGGGATTTGAAACAAAGTGGAGGTGAGACGGACTATTATTGCCAAGAGGAAGAGTCCTTTGAAGTGATCTTCAACAGTGATCGACAGTGTTTCAAAGCATTTTTGCATTTTTGTTTCTGTTGTTTTTTTTGGAAGGGGATCTCTGTGGATTGTTGAGGTTTATCGTGTTACTATTGTGTAGGATCAGGTTCGTCGAGTAGGTTTTCTCGTTCCTTTTTTTTTTTTTCTCTTTTCCTTTCGATAGGTTTCGATTTGTGGTTTTGAAAGTTTGGTGAAGAAGTTTGGCTAGGATATTAGTGGAGGGGACGGTAACAGAGATGCTTCTGCGAGTGACAAGACGTTGATTCGAGATGGGAGTTGGCGAGATGTGTAATGGGATTTGGAGATTTCATCTGAAATGGAAGCGAGAATTGGTCGAGATCTTAGATTATTTTTTTTTGGTCAGGAATATATTTGGCTCGAGTCACAGAGAGAGAGAGAGAAAGAGAGAGAGAGAGAGAGAAAGAGCGTAGGGAAATGGGGAAGGGAGCGTAGGGAAAAGTTTGAAATTGAATAATAGAGAAGAGGAGGGATACGCATGAAAAGACGAATGAGAAGATGGAGACCTCGAAGTGGAATACACAGTAGGATGAATTTCAAACGAAGGTATGAGGTATGAGGAGAGCTAACAAATGGCAAATGAAATTCTCCGAGATGCAGGGCGGAATGTTGGAAGGAAAATAGCTGGAAAACTGTGAACTGGGAAACTGGAGAGTGAAGGAGAATGTTTTGAGGCGGAACGTGGAAGTATCAAAAATTGAAGGAATAAATTGAGGGAAAATCCAGAAAATGGGAAAAATGAAAAATAAAAAGAAGGGCTTAACGAAACAGGGAAACTGAAGAGCAGAAAATTGAAAAAAACAGGGACTCTCTAAACTTGAAAAATGGCAAACGAGAAACTGCGAAAGAACGCAGGAGATGTCGATAATGGAAAATAGAAAAGCAGGAAAAAGTGAAGTCGAAACTCAAACGCCAGAGGGAGAGCTCTAAAAAAATCTAAAACGCGAAAGAGAAAATATAAAATATAAACTACGAGAGAGATTGGAAGGTAAAAGGAAAAACGAAAAACTGAGAATGAGGGACAATTAGAGCACTGAGACCCAAAGTATTCTATGTATTTAATAAAAAAATGAAATATTCCAAGTAACTGAATATTCTTCATGCTAAAAAAAAAAAAAAAACAGAAATAGCAAATGAGAAGCCTCGTGGACCGAAAATACTAGTTTAATCATCGCATACATGTACTTATTGTTAGCCAAGAAATGACTCATCGAAAGCACCCTCTTCGTACTATAAGCTCGCAAACTTACACTTCGAAGCTCGTTCTCCGCGCGAAATGAACATCATTTCTCAGGACACTGTGAAACAAATGGCCGCGTAGAATATCGTATATTTTACAAACGATAAGCCAGTCGATTGTTTCCGATTGGCGATATTCTGCTGGAACACAGGAATTGGCTGAAGTTACGAACTGAACGAGTGAACTGAACTACAGCCATTTGGAACGTAGGAGGAAGCTCGACATTTCGAAGCGAAGATAAGCAGCCAGATTATTTTATGGTAACGAATGATGCGCGATACGGCTGCTCGAGCCCCGAAGATGAACTTTATCTAAAACTTGATAAGACGGTTTGAACGTGATTTGAAAATTGCTGAAAACAATTAAGAAAGATAATGAATTAAATGATAAGAATTTCATGGAAATCAGCTACGATCAACTGAAATAAATGTTAAGTTGGAATGAATAAATTGGTAAATAAACATGTGATCTCCATCCGAGAAAATTAAAGATCACACGAAGACGAGGTTTCCTTATTTGGGTCGGAAAAAAGTCTGACTTTAAGACGTAAAAGATGTATCACATAATTTGATTGATCTTTACGATTCAGATCTTATTCTGACCCGGCTCTGACCAGTGTCTCCTCTTCGAAATTCCGAATTACATTGCGAAGAATCCAGAATCCGGAAACGAAGCAGCGAAATTAATTTCCCACCGTGGGGAATGAAGCAACGTCCTGGAAACCTTTTGAGACTTCACTCCGAACGAGGATCGCGATGTCAAAGAAGTCTCTTTGATACACGAGCCTTCGTTTTGAACGAAAAAGAGGGTGCGGGAATTTTTATTTCGAAGCGAGGAAAGAAGAAGCACGATCGTGTTCGAGCGGAGGACGGTGTCTCGTGATCGATAAGTGGAAAAGAATGGCCACAAGCATTCCACGATCATCCTTATAATTAACTCGAAAGAGAAGGAAGCACGTGCCCACGGCGTCTCCTATTTTTACGCCACGAACGTCACCGTGTCTCTCTCTTTCTCTCTCTCTCTCTCTTGATGCAACACCTTCGACGCAACAGTGGTGTGCGTGCCACTTTGAATTTCTAATCTCTGCTAGATCATTCGCAATCGAACAACAATCTCTCTGCACAATCGTTCGCCGAAGGCTGCTCGAAAACATCTGCAAATGCGGCTGGAACTCTCGCGAATTACGAGAGCTTCCTCGGGGCGGATACTTTGGGCAACTTGGCGAAGAATTTCGAATTTTCAACGACGAAGGAATTCTTTTTTTTCCCCCTTCCAAACTGTTTGCACCGTCGTCGGAAGAATTTCGAACTACCTTGAGTTTATCATGCGAGATAACATGTTAACTCAAGAAGAATTTCAATTTCTTTCTGAAAGGGGAAAACGCGGCAAAGCAACTTCTTCTCCCAAATTGTTTAAACTTGTCGTCGGGAAATTTTCAGCCACTTTTCAATTACTTGTCGTGCGAGATAGAGACGTCGACGGAGGAGAAATTCAATTTCTTCGAAGAGGACACTTTTCTCATAGGAAAAACGTGATTTTTTTCTTTCTTCACAGTGCATTAAACTGCATTTCAAGTTCTAGTCAACGGGTCTGAAGGATTGATTCACGGCAGAAGCACAACGCCGTGCAAAAATTTCGTCTCGTACTCGAAAGGTGTTCGCGACTCGCTGCTGAAGGTTGCACGCTCCGTCAAAGGGCTCTTCCTCGCGACGAAATCGTCGCCTAATCGTGGAAAAAAGTCGATCCTTATCTTTTGGAGTACCGGCCGTTACCGCGTCGTCTTGTCGCGTGAGGTTAAGTGCACGTTCGATGCACGTTCTACTCGGACGGAGTAATCGATCGCTTGAAATTATGACGAATCATCAGTTCCCGGGTCAGTGCGGCTTTCACCCCCTCCCCCTCCCCCTCCCCCTCCCCCTCGCTGCTATCGATTGTTCGACGCACCACGGCCACGAGTATTTACCCACGTTTAACGTAAATCCTGTTTTTTTAATATTGCATACGCGTGCGAATATGCAGAGCAGGAACGCAACTGTGCCAGTGACGATGAAAACTTGTCGACAATTTGACAAAAATAGCATAACTTCGCAAAGAATGATTGCCCGACGATTGAAGAGTGAAGCTTCTGCTTTGATAGTGAGTTTGTTTCTTTTTTTTTTTTTTTGCCTAGTTACTTTACATCGTAGTAAATTCAACCTGCGTAGAAACGTGAAGGAATTTTCTCCGTGACTGAGTCTGCTATCAGTTTGAAAGTAGTAGTCTCTAGTTTGCAGCCATTTTTTAAAACTTGCCGTACGATTTTTTTCTCGCCATTTTATTGGACGTTGAATATTGGGATCAAATTATGAAAATTTAAGAAATCTTCGCATCCTTTATGTTATGTAACCTTAGCGTTCAATGTTCAATGAAATGATTAAAAAAAATCGTATAGCGAATTTTTAGGGCTCCTTGTGAAGAGAGAACTTCAGTCTTCAAGACCGTACTAGATGTAACAGTGGAAAAAATTTATTAACGTTTTTACAGATGTTTGAGTTTTGACAATTTTCGAGGAAAAATTGTTCTCACCTTCTCACCCGTCAGACGATGTAAAATCATTCTCGAAAGGAACAAACTCACGACAGCCAAAGTGGATCAAACAGATTGAATGATATCAAACTTTCGAAATCTCTGATAAACACTTGCGATTTTGAATATTTTTGTTATTCGAATATTTTCCTGCATTTACGTGTTTTAATTTTAGTGTCAATGCCGAGAGATATTGAATTTCCAAAATGTGCAACAAAGCAAATCGACGTTAATCAACTATAGTGATTATTAATTTCTCTTCGAACTTTTTCCAACACCATCTTGAAATTGACACGTAAATTAAAACACTGAGTCGAGCAATCAGCATTCCATTCAGTCTCAAAATATTTGTTTACGTATTTAATTGTGCGTCAATTAATCAGCAGTATTATCGTAGCAATTAATTCTTTTTTTTAACACTCGAGCCCGTATTTTTGTTCGTGACATGCGACAATGAGTCAACGAATTAGTCACGTTTGTGCATTGTACGTAGCCGTTTCGGAACGTTTGGTTACGTTGATTCTGGTTTACGAGTGATTTACGAAAGTGAGCGTCGAAACGAGGCGTTGAACAAACCCCTCGTGAAAATAAATCCGCCGCTTTGAGTTACAGCTGCTGTCAATCCGAATGGCCGTTCTTCCAAAGCGATCAATTCGCTGATTATAAATACGCCGACCTAAATTATATCGTCGATCTCGTTACGCCTGTTTTCCAAGTGCTTTCTCCTTTTTTTCTTTTTTTTTTTTTAATTTCAAACGTGAACCTTTTCTCGTCGAACTTCCTATCAAAACTTGAAGCGGCTTGAAAGAATCAAAGCGTTTTGAAAGCTTCGATAAATTTTCGAACTGATACTTCAGCGAACGTGCTGGCTTCAGTTCCCATTGACTTTTCGACAATCGAACGCGGAACAATTAATTCCTCTTTTTTAAACTTGTGCATAAAACGAATTGTATTAATTCGAATTAATTATATCGATAATTGTTGCGATTGTACATGTTGATTTTATTCATTTTAAATTGTTCCAAGTATACGAAATTATACCGATGAGAATAAACATCTTTGATTCCTCTCGAAACTCGAGCGGAAAAGAATAAAATTCGTAGTTTCGATAATTCGAA